ATATATATATATATTTGATGAGTAGTATTTTAAAAAAAATTTTATTGAATATAAAAATACAAAGATTTATAATCAATTAAAGTATTAATTAAGAAAATAGAGTTTAAATTATTAAATTAGATTCAAATGATATTTTAATATAAACAATAATTTTTAAATCTTGCTCCAATCTGTAACATCTTATGGCTATGTGATTAGGGTTTTCAAAACGACTCTTTGTTCGTGAACGGCTTGTGTTCGGCTCGCTAAGCAAATAAGCCGAACACCGACACACTTTTTGAGCTTGAAATATAAATTTACACACCTAGTCGCGAAGTAAGTATGGAACATTCTAGTCCACAGTAATAATACTATACTATGGAGGTACCGGAAGTCCTCGAGCTTATCTTTTCTGAAGATTTAAAACCACAAAGCCCAAACCCTTAGATGCAATATTAGTAAATATTATAAATACTTAATTCAAGTATAGAACTGTGGTCTCAAAGTTTTGAGTATAAACCAACAAATTTGTGACTACAAGAAGACAATATACCTTAAAAAATATGGGTTTTTGGTTGCCTTTAAATCACGTAATACCGAGCTCGTTTCTGGTACAAGTAATTGATCATACGATCAGAGGCCATCGATATAAAGAGCTCTCTCCTGGTCGGGTCTTCAAGCAACTTCTTAGAGAATAAGTAAAATGACGTGTCCTCATAAATTTCTGGAGTTTCTTCCAGAATTCGCATGACTTGCTAAATAAAAATTGCTTGTGATGTGTTAGGGTTATTGGTACATGAAACAACTAACTATGAAATCTGACTTCTCATGAAAATTGCATTATCTTTTTTTCTTTTTCTCAACTCTATGACGTTTGAATCGACTAGTAGATTCAACTTCATTAAGGTTAGGGCTGGGGCCTTCATTGGTGTAGGCGGTTTGCTCGATGTCAACTTACTCGGCTCTTCCAGCAAACCCTCTCTCTCTTAAGGCCTATGCATGATTTCTTGTGGTCATGCCCCACCAAACATATGATCCAACTTTTCTTCAAGCTCAGGGTCAATGTCACTAAATTTAAATTTTTGGGCATTTGACACAACCAATAAATTAATAAAATGATTGATATGTTGATGTAAATGCAGAAAATATAAATGATGAAGGACATAACGTTTTATAAATTATCATCTCCAATCTCTCACCCCACCATTCATTCGAAACATTGATGGTGCATTTTACCAGATCCCAACCCAAGTCTGTGGATCCTTGTTTCAACTCTTTTCATATTTTCTAGTCCATTTTTAACTGATCATACTTTTTTTTCAATTACATTCTATCATATTCCCTTCCCGCGCTTTCCTTGAACTTTGTTATTATATTTTGTCAGTCCTTTTTGTTAAAATAGGTGTTGGTATTTTTCCCAAATCCACCTCTTTAAGACAACAACAACAACAAAGCCTTAATCCCACTACGTGGGGTCGGCTACATGAATCCTTTTTCTCCATTGCGTCCTATTTAGTGTCATCTTTTCATTTAGTTCTAGAAATTAAGATCATTAATTAAGATCATTTTTAATACAATAAGCCCAAGTCTTCCTAGGTCTACCTCTGCCATTTTTTAAGACAGAGATTGCAAAAATATTAGCTTAATCTCTTTATCCCACATGGCAGACGAACAAATTTCTTGTCTTACCTATCATGTCTGCCAACATGTATAGAGATAAGCAATATAAATTTTTGGCATACATTAAATATTCTTTTTCATGAAAACAGAGAAAGTAACGTTTTATAAACCCTCATCTGGAATGGTAACAGAAAAGAACAGACAATTCATCACCACTTCATTCACCAACAACACCACCACCACACCAACAACACACCACCACCACCACCACTCCCATTTACACACACCAAAAACATCACAACAACAAGCCGTCACAACCACCGCAACCAACCCAACACACCACCACCAAATCATCAACACTCCACCACCATCACTCCCTTCTCCACACAACACCCCATCTACACACAACCACCACCACACCATCAACTCCAACACATCACCATCCCTACATCAACACCAAGCCACCACCACCACACAACAGCTCCAACACACCATGCGGAGACACAATATCACTTGAAAGTTTGTATCTTGGGTACATCATGAAGAAAATTAACACCCTTTTTCCATTCTAGTATTATTACTTGAAACCTTCCACATGCATGCATATCCGCGCGTTATTTGTTATTTCAATCAATTTATGCACTCTATTTATGCTTTTATCACCTGTTATGATAGGTGCTTAATAAGATTGTTGAAGACTTGTTTCAAGGGCATCCCATAAGTCAAAGAAAGCTCAAAGAGCTTTTAGGCCACACTCCATCACAAGTCGTTGCTGGGGCTCTTTTAGGTATTTTTATTGCCTATATTTGCTGTCAAAATATTATTGTCATCTAAGTATTTTTCAAACTCCTTATCTTTATAAATATATACATAATTATGTTACTTGAGATGTAAATTTTAGGTATTTTGATTAGTGCAATTAGTTTTGCGCACAATTTTGTTTTTTGTGTAATTCCTTAATATTATTACTCGTTTGTGTAATGCTTTATATATTTTGCTCACTTTTTTTTAAATATTCTTTTGCATAATGATTTATTATTTATCATTTAGTAGTTGACATGTTAGGAGAATATAAGGTTAGCTGTATTATTTTTTTTTAATTTTTTTTAAAGATTTATCATGCTTGAAAAAGGAGTTTGCTTTTATTTTTTGTGTGGGTGGATAGAAGTTTGAAGAATGATCATTCTATTCAACTTGAAATTTGAAGTTGTGACTTGAGAAATGTTCATAAAAAAAGTTTTTTTAATTTTTTTTAAATCATTGAAGTTGGCGGCATGGTGCGCGAATGCATAGGACGTTCTTGGAGACAAGTTTAAGAATCCTAAGGTGTTGAATTCAAGTGTTCATTGTGCGGAAAAAAAAAGATGACATATTTTAGGCAGCCTAAAATTTTCTTATAATGTTGCATAAATTTAAATGTGTGAAAGTTCAATTGTGGTGAATGAGCTTTGGGAAGAACTTGAGTGACACATATCATAATGAAAATTCTTATTTGTTAAAAAAAAATTGATAGGCCACTCTACATAGAGTTGTTAATGATCTAATTTCAAGTTGAGCTGAGTTGATTCGAAAAAAAATTCATCCAAAATTTTAGCTTATAGCTAGACTTTGTTTATTTTGATCTGATCTTGATTTGAGCCAATATTCCAATCAATTTTTGAGTGATTTACAATCTTCTAGACAATTTCGTTAAAACTTACAACTCTAATATCACTAGAGCTGTTAGCAATTTGCTCAAAGAAAATTTGATCCAAAATTTTGGCTCATAGCTCGGCTCGTTTATGTCAATCCGATCTCAATCCAAGCTAAAATTTGAATTAATTTTTGAACAATTAACATTTTTTGAGTTAAATTCACAACATTTTTATTAAGATTTTTATCAAAGAGAATATTTTAGGTCTTTATAGACCCTAAATTATACATCACATGATTTCCTGACAAACCACAATCAAAGAAAGCGAGAACAAGTCAACACAAAGCATGAAAGTAAACAAACCATTTGAATATATCTGGGCCGTCAGCATATCTCAGAAAAGCAAAATGGTAGCAAAACTCAACATATACATGTTTGCTCCTAACGCTAAACATCAAATGGAGATTTGGACTTAAGATGCAGAACACGAACAAGCTGCTCCTAATCCGCGTCACGTGATTGAATGCATCAAGTACCTCGAAACCTATGCTGGTACCTTTATTTCGATATAGACTCCCTAAGGAGTTTAAAAATATATAGAAAAGTCTAAAATAAAGACTCGACCTGCAAAATAGAGTTAATACGGCTTATCTCATGCAACGTATAGTAGGTCATGTTCGGTGGGAGAAGAGCTTAATAACACCTGCAAAAAAGACGTTAACATAAATCATTGCAACTTTTTCTTGTTAGATATGACTTTTTGCAAGAGGCCACCCTAAAAAAACTAGTGCACAAGTCCACTCCCGGTAAACACAAAAATCACCACACAAAATGCCTGGCTAGGGCGCAAACTAAGGAACAATAGCCAGGACATGAAAATTCATAACTACACTCTGGCCCTTGTCTAGCAAGCATCTAAACACAAAGTGGGCTAGCCGCAACATTTAAGTGTGTGCAAAGTGTGGGTGAAGGCTAATGTATGACTTTGATGGGGTCGCTGACACCAAACTCATCGTAAATATCCAAGAAATCTAATGAGTGTCAATTGGGGATGACATTTAAAAGAGGTGATCTCACATATGGTCTAACTGATATAATTTTAAAATAGAGCAGATAATACATAGTTGAAAATTATCCACTTTCTTATTTTAAAATATGGTCATTAAATACGGGTCCGTAACATGCAATAAGATGCACTTTAGAACTATTGGATTTATAGCACAATCATGTTGATCATATTATAAAACTTGCATTGATGGTCGAGATAACCTCTCGAGCAATGCTCGTTTAAGTATTACAACTAACATATGGATCACTCATCTAACGAATCAACTTGCCATAAAAAAAGACCAAGTGAGGCACATGAAAAAATGCAAGCGTGTACTAGCGTGCCGCAGTTGCTCGAGCAATGTGCTAGTGAACATGTGTGGCACACTAGGTGGTTAAGCACAATATGGATATTCTATTAGGTATGAACATCTACATTGAACTTCAAGGCTCGAGTGCTTTAGCACGCTACAGTCGTTCGATCAAAATATGGGTGAACATATGTAGTGCACTAAACAAAACCCTAGTCTAAATTTCAGGAAATATGACTTGCAAGCTTAATGTGATTGCACTATTTTTAGTTTTTCTAAGAACTCGGAGTCGCCGGCTTGTCTATACGTATGTTATCATCGTATAATTCACTTTTCAAATAAATCTCTCTCGGATCATAGAAAATGATCTAAAGAGGAGATGAATCAGAAATGATAAAATATACAACGAAAATAGACAAACAAATTTTAAAAAGAAACATGGAGGACTTATGTACTGTAATTCTCACGTGATAGGTCCAAATAAGATCAGATCGAAATACCTCAAAACACGGTATCTACGAAGAAAATCCCTAAACAAGGTACCCAAAATCAGAGAACCAAAAAGAATATTTGTATTCTGAGATCAAAAGCACTCCCAAAGGAATGTATCTCTTTGGTTAATTATATTTTGAGGGATACTCAAGAATACTCTCGATAAAAGGGGAATTGCTTACATTATCATGACAGGTAAATATGTCACTAAAAAATGAATATTTCACTGAGACGTCTTGGTGCTTCTAATGCCCTCGCTAAGTCATAGGACAGAGAGTGAATCTCTCTCATCCTAAATGGGTAGTGGCACATCGGCATACGAAACTCATAAAATAATCATGTCCACTCAAAGGATATTGACAATGCTTCCAGGGCCTAATCGAGCCATAAGGGTAGAGGGTGAATCATCGTTTCCTAAATGAGCAGCAACCTATATACAATCGGGACCTACAAGACAACATCAATAAGTCAGAAAGGACGATGGGGCTAAAAATGGCTCAACAAATGAGAGGTAGAGTACTCATAATCGGGTAAAGATGTTGGGTCAGGATACAATGTAATCTCTAAAAGACGGAAACTCTAAATCCTATGACCTTATAAAGGTAGAGATCACAGTGGTGGGATTTATACCCGCCAAAATGGTGAGGAAGTTACTGGAAAAAAGTAAAAGAGAGGTCCAGCTATCAAGTAAAAAAACTCTTCCACAAAGGACGTATATAACATTTAATACCCTAAACGTACTAGACAACCACCTAAGTAAAAAATCTATGCTGAACTAGTCGGGTTAAAGAAGCACAGTGATTTCTCCTTGGAACATGCAATATGATGCAATTATCTATAGTCCTGAGCGTAGAGACCCTATTAATATGATTTGGGTGAGAGTCATGTTATGCAAGCTATTTAAAACAGACTCGAAGGTCATGTAGAAAAGTAAAGTGCAAGTTTTAAATAATTGAAATCTTTTGATCCTAAATTTTGATTTATCTTAATCTTTTATTAAGATTTTTATAGAAAATTTATATTTTAGTGTCCTTAAAGAGCTTAAATTATATCATAGGATTTCTAGTCAAACCGAAATTAAAGAAAGCGAAAATAACATGCATGTTGTTTAAGGTAAAAACTAGCCAAGTGTAAAATAATAAACACAGGCTAGGTGCCGTTGGGTCAATAACATCCCACAAAAGGAAAAAGACAGTCAGACTCTGCATATACATGCCTTTTCCTAAATCCTATACATTAAAGAAAATTTATAATTAAGGTACGAGACACAAGTTAACTGCTCATTGTATCTGTCTCGTGGTTCCCATATCAAGCGCCTCAAGACTCATGCTCGTACCTTATTTCTATATATACATACTCATTTAAGGACTCTAAAAAAGGTACATATAAAAGTCTAAAAAAAAGACTCGATCAACACAAAAATCATGTTAGCATAGAAGCTGTCAACGTGCAACTTGATGAATCATACCTGATGAGAGGAGAGCTTAATAGCATCAGCAGAAAATGTGTTAGCGTAAATCGTTGAAGCTTCTCCCTGTTGGACATGACTCTCTGCAAGAAGACTGACTCTAATATATTATTGTGCATGTCTCACATCCAGTAAACCCACAAAGGAAGCACACAAAAAGATGCTTGGCTAAGGCAACAAAATAGCAGAGAGCTATATCCAAGCATTGAAAAAAACTACCTAAGCACTATAGTCCTAGCCTAACACACCATCTAGTGCATAGTGTCATAGTTACAACATCTGTGTGTATGCACCGTGTAGGGGTAAAATCTAGGTGTATGAATTTGATGGGGTTGTCAAACCGACCCCATCCTAAACATCCAAAAGATCTAAAATATGTCACTAAGAATGACATTTTAAAAATAAGTGACCTCACGTACGACCTTACTTATATAATTTTAAAAGTAAGGTGTATAGTACATAAAAGAAAAAAATATTTGCAAAAAAACCTATTGAGTTGCAATTTCATAAAATTTCTTAAGAATTTGATTATATTATTATAAAAAGGCATAGAATATTATCAGATATGGATGAGCTCGAAGGTTACTGAATTTATTTTTTGATGAGACTAATATAAAATCTGCAAAATTTCCCCTAAGATGTAGTCAGGTCAGGATACCACGGATCTGTCATCCTAAGCTATTTAGGTCTTAAGTCTACCTGATTGTGAAGGTAGTCAACCCAACACAATCGAAAGTTCCTTGTAAACAATAACTGAATTGCGTCGTCCAAGGAAGTTTCAGTAGCCCTAAAGTAAATGGAAGGAAACTCTAGTTCCTATGACTCTAAATAGGTAGAACTCATAGAGATGGGGCTTACACTTGACAAGATAAATGGCGGGGTTGCCACTGGAAAGAAGAGAAAAGGTGGTTCCACTATTAAGCTAAAAACGTTATGCGCAAAGAACTTACATCCCTTTTGGGTTGGGGTTGCCTCTAACACCCTAGTCATACT